AATGGGCACTTCCGGCAGCTGCTCTTAGCTCGTGGGTGAAAACGACTTTGCTGTTCAGCTTTGCCAGTGCTTTACTTTCGAGTAAGCAATAATTCTGAGAAGTTGTATCTTTTACTTAGGTCACCTTCCTTCCAGTCTTCGGCATGTTTGCCCTCAACCAGGCGCCTGTGACGGGGGAACTCAGCAATAAGAAGGGAAAAGTGTGCTTGATGTTCAGCTTGACTGTTGCTTTGATTCTCTTTGGTAGTGATGGCCTCCACCCTGGACAATTCAGCCTCAGGTGGCCGCTCAGTTGGAGATGCCATTTGGAACCGACGATAATGACTTGCCCTTGACCCACTTCCAATATGTCCATACCTGAGCCAGGCTCATGTGCTTGACTTTGGTTCAGAAAGCAAGTCTTCCGAATTGAGGAGCTGAACAAGAGTCTGTTGCAACTGATGCATGAGCGTGGAAGCCAAGTGGAAATGCATGTGTAGAAACAGAGAATGTCAAATGGCATAAATAGAGACAAGAAGCTCAGGGGCCTTATTATTGGAGCAAAAAAAAGACATCTATGTTTGTTCTATCTTGTACTCACCTTTTTGCATCACCGTTCCAGACATTGTGATATTCCCAGACGCTGACAGATCTTGAGGATGTCAGATCATTTGCCAAGCACCCTGAAGACGGCCAAGACCAGTGTGGACGACTTGAGGACCCGGGGATTGTACTTCCGGGATGACCTGGCCTTTCCTGTGACTTCAACTCACCAAGATGACCTGAGAACGATTTGAAACTGCGTCATGGACTCCTTGACCACAATTTCACCTGACGCTATTAGGTTGGAGGCCATCGCTCTTCGGGAGAAAAGAACGAAACAAGAGGAAAGAAAAGCAGAGATGGTCTCAAAGACTGCTGTGCAGTCGCTTCCTTGGTGGATCTCAAGGGCAAAAAGGAACCTTCAGCCGAAGTAGCAGCAAGGCAGGTGTCCGTTGGGAAGAAAACACTTTTGTGGGTGGGGTGGTTGGTGTGTTTGTTCTTTCCTTTTGTAACGTTCTTTTTTCCTTTCACCATCTTTCACCGTTAGACCTGTGATTTTTCGTGTAAGTCCAAGACCAGTTGGCCAGCTTCAGCAATTCTGTCTCTGTGTCTTAGTTGATTCTCTTTTTCTTTTTTCAGACCTTCAGACCTGAAGCTACTAGTAACAAGTGCATCGCTTCTAGTAACAAGTGCCTTACTAGTAGTAACAAGGACGCTACTAGTAACAAGAAGCTACTAGCTTTCTTGAGACCTTTAGACCTTCAGACCTCTAGGCCCGGGAACTAGGAACCAGGATGCACCGGTCGCTGCCTGTCGCTCAGGCTTTTGAGAGTATGGACTTCGAGGAGGTCCAGAGCCTAGAGACGTCGATCTATGTGTCATGCGCAGTTCTTGAAAGAAACCCGCAAACCACGTCTTTCCACAGCTCTCAAACTGTATGCATGACCTGTGTGACTGAGCAGCTGGATCCTGAAGTTGTGGCATTCTGATCAGTTTTAGACTTAAACAATCTTCAAATACACTTCGTCCTTGCTACGAACGGGGCTCCTGGCCTTACTACGAACGGAGCGATCGGACGCTACTAGGGGCTCCAGCTGCGCTTGCTTTTGCTTCAGGAGCAGCTGGAACTGGAGGTCCCAAGACTCGAGGAGAAGACATAAGATCAGTGTGTCAGCTGTGCTGTGCTGTGACACGCAGCTTGAGACCCACTGGTGGGACACGGTTCTCCTTTTTTGCCGACCTCCCCAAATGGCCATGGCCTCCAATCTACTAATGGCCTCCAACTTGATTGAAACTTTAGTCCAAACTTTGTTGTTTGTGAATCCTGTTGCTCCTCGGCTCCTTGCCAATTTTTGGAGCACCTTTTTCTCCTACAGGAGAAGGCAGGTTTTCAACCAGAGAAGCTGGTGCCAAAAGACTCTAGGCTATTGGTAAAGGGACCGGAAGAAAGACAAGATTGATCTGAACAAAAGCTTCAACCAGGAATGGTGCTCCTAGTAGCGATGCCCTTTGCTCCTAGTAGCTACTTGCTCCTAGTAGTACGGCCAGGAGCCCCTAGTAGCGTCCTTGCTCCTAGTAGCGATGCCAGGAGCCCCTAGTAGCGTCCATGTTCGGAAGGAAGGTACTAGATGTGACCTTGAAATATTGCTGAGGATCATCCAACCGACACAGAGTCCGCTGAGGCTGGATGAACCAAGTTCCTCCAGTCGATTGCTTGTTTCAATTTGACAGGGGTGGTTGAGTTTAAGAACGGAGGCCTTTTCACTTGCTTTCTTGATAGTTTGTCTTTTTGCTTTATTTGGAACAGACTCCCTATCCTCTTTCGAGGTGCACTGACATGCTTTGTTTCTTTCTTCTCATGGTGATTTCAGGCAGAGGTTGCAACCATGTACAGAGTTTCTTGGATTCGAATCGTGTCAACTTCAACTCGAAGCACTGAGGGAGAAAGGGGAAATGCCGAAGGCAAGGAAGAAAGGAAGGGAAAAGGGCAGGTCAAGCTCTAAAGAGGATGTAAAGGACGAAAGAGAAAGAGAATCTTATTGTTACTAGTAAGGCACTTGTTACTAGTAGCGATGCACTTGTTACTAGTAGCGATGCACTTGTTACTAGTAGCGTCTTTGCTCCTAGTAAGGCACTTGTTCCTAATAGCTTCTTGTTACTACTAGTAAGGCACCTGTTACTAGAAGCGTGGCACTTGTTCCTAGAGGATGTAAAGGACGAAAGAGAAAGAGAATCGAAAACAGGGTGTGCCTAGGTCATTGGAATGTGCAACTGCTCAAGTGGTGACCTGCGAGAGTAGGTTGGAGGCCATTGCTTTTAGGTTGGAGGCCATCGCTAGTATGTTTCTCTTTTGCTCTTTTTGCTCTTTCAGACCTTGGCACTTACTTTCAGACTTTCGGGAAACTTTCGATCCTTTTTTGCACGTCTTTTCTGTTCTTAGTCTGATTCTCTTTTCTGTCTCTCTTTCTTGTCTCCTTCCTTCCTTCCTTTCAAAACTGGATTGATGTCTCAAAGCGAGAATCGAAACCAAGGAGATTGCTCGCAGCATGGAAAATTTGCTGCGTTTGGCCCGGTCTCTTCCAGCGGAGAAGTGTGAGGCGCCTGAAACCCGTCTTTTTCCGTTGACTTGTTTTTTTGTTTTCCTTGTTGTTTTTGGAGCCTGCTCCTACTGCTTGATTCAGTGGGCGCCCACTAAGTTTTGTGTAAGGGAAATGCCTAGTTTGCTACTAGCTACTTAAGCTACACATGCACGCGACTTATTGGGCAGATAATAGACAATACTACATAGAGTTGCTACAAACTCCTGTAAAGCCTCTGCAGTCAAAGTCCATCACACGCGGACTTCCCTAAAAATCTAGGAACCAAATGAATAGTGCGAGCGCTTCTTCAAGGAAGCTTCCCCCGCCGCCTTCCTTGAAGAAGCACGAGCTCTCCTGCGTCCAGTTCCTAGTAGATAATTTAATCCTAATAGCTTTTTGTTACTACTAGTAAGGCACTTGTTACTACTAGCGATGCACGTGTTCCTAGTAGCTATTAAAACTACTAGCCATTCCCTAGCTACCTACCTCTCCCTCCTAGCGGCCTACCCCCTTGCGCTCGCGCGAAAAGAAGTTAAAAACAAAAGTTATATGTAAAAACGAATAAACATATATATATATATAACTATAACTTCGTTTTAAAGTTACTTCGTTTAAAGACGAATTTTCAAAAGTTTGCGTTGTGCGCTCCAGGGGCTGGGAGAAGTCAAGCACAAGGGGGAAGCTATTGTGTCGGAAGCCCTGGCCAAACACGCAAAGAAGATGCAACAAAATGAGAAACATAAACAAAGACACAACGGAAAAAGAAATAGCAACAAAGCATCGCACGTAATGAGAACAATGCATTTCACTCAACTAAGCGCATCGGCATCGGACGTGTTTTGGTTATGTTTTTATTCGCAAAGGATGTTTTTTCTGTGCAACAGTCTCACTGCCTTTCAGGCTACTTGTTAGTTTCCCACCTTTTTGTGGGATTCCAGCTGCTCTGAGTCTGAGGTTCAGAGAGACCTCAGAAAGACCTTTCGAAGGCCAGCAACTTGTGGACGTGTTGATGTTTCAGTCTGACATAGTCTGACTACCTTTCTGCTTGAAGCCCTCAAAGCCCCTCGTTTTTGGGGTTCGACTCAACGGAGTTTGAGAGATGTGGATGGAGTTGTCCGTCAGTTTTCCTGCAGGAATCAAAAGCGTCTAAGAAGCAGGGAGCTTGACCTGTGCGAAGCAGGGTTTTCTGTGCCTTGGAAACCGATGCACACTTCCTGTCGAAGACAGCGTTTTCATGTAAAGTATTCGATGATAATGATTCTTTGCACAAAATTCTCCGCGATGCTCAAGCAGGGGACAGTTGCGCAAGACAAGACAAGGCAAAACCAGCAGCGTTTGGCAGCGTCAGAGGATCCAGCCGTTCTTCCAAGGAACGCAGAACTCATAACTCATCTCAGGATCTCAAGCTGACTCAAGCTGTTTGTTTTGCAACTGTCCCTGTGTTCAGAGCTTACGTGCAGGCTCAATACATCCTCCTGTCCAAACAGGGCAGCTGGTTCACCCTCCTATGCCAGACTGAAAGTCGGCCCAAATGGTCACGTCTGACAAATGCCACGCATTTGACAGGTTCGTCAGTCTCCATAGTTTCCGAGGGCAAATGCCATACGGCCGCTTGTGACAAACCAACACTACGAAAGTGTCTCAATAAGTACATGTTGTAATCAGATCAACCAGTTCATCTTCAGTTCTGAGACGTGTGTTTGTCTTCTAGCGGCCAGCTCAAAGATATTGCAGGCCTGCACTTGTAGTCGACTGCCAGTCCAACTGTTTTTAGTCGGAACTTGAAAACGCAAATCAAGCTGAGGCCAGCAGCAAAGTGACAAAAAAGTGATTGACTGGGAACGTTGACCTTGTTGAGTTCTCATTCAGAGCGCACTGGACGTGCCACCAAAGCTGCAGGGCGAAGAGTGGCAGAGCGCGGCACAGAGAGGACCCACTGTCGCACTTGCACATCTTCTGGGATGGACTCAAGTTCATAGAAGGAGTCAGCAAAGCCACAGTCCTCTTGAGTGTTTGGTGAAACCATCGCAGAAGTGCGACATCACTTCGAGGATGCGGTGGCCTCAATCGGATTTGAATGAAAAGCGCACTTGTTGAGTTATCGGATCGCTTCCTTCAAGTACAGTTCGTCAAGTGTGTTCGATTGGCCCATGGTTGAACCAGTCTGCCCAGCCTTCCATACTGGAATTTTCTCGAGTAGCAAACCATGGCGGACCACTCCGGTCGACTTGTGAAGATAACGACGCGACAATATTCCTCCTAGTAAGAATGCTCCTAGTAGTGATGCCAGGAGCCCCTAGTAGTGTCGTTGTTGCTAGTAGTAAGGCCAGGAGCCCCTAGTAGGGAAAATGCCCTAAAGCAAGTCATGAACCGAACCGTTTGAGTCTCGGAGAACTGCGCCACAAACGACTTGCACCTTCAACGGCGGCTTAGGCAGATGCCTGGACTTGGGCACTTCTGACTGTTGAAACAGACCACTAGCAGGACCTTGGAAACAAACTGTCCAACTTTTCTTGCCAGGATCTTGGAAAGGCAAGCTCTGACAAGGACACGTTTTTTAGCCCAGCCCTGCCTCCTTACTTGATTGAGTAGTTCTAGCAACTGGACGCAGGATAGCTCACGCACTAATGATTTGGTTCCTAGATTTTTAGGTACACTTAATGGGATCAGAGAAGAAAAATATATGAAGGTGTTTGGGCCTTTTGCGTGTTTCTTTCTCCTTCTAACAATGCGTAATGCGTTGCATAAATCATTCCAGCCAAACTTCCATTCCGACGAAATTTTTGCTCGCTAGGATGCAGTTGTGTCCTTGTTCGCAGAACACCAAGGTCATAGAGCCTTTTGTACAGGGAGTTTGTTTCTTGAGAGCTTATTGTTACTACTAGTAACAGGTGCCACGCTAGTAGTAACAGGTGCCTTACTAGTAGTAACAAGAAGCAGGCAAGTGTCACAATCTCTCAGTGTTTGTGGTTTCTGCAGGTGAAAGCATTGCAGTGCTTTTTGACCCTTGGCGAGATGAGCTTGGATCTCAAAAGGATCCAACCGACCCTGGAATGAAAGCTTTGAATTCCAATTGAGGAAATTTTGAAGAGATATGCTTTGTTTGTGTTGTAAAAAAGATGCTGATGTGTTTTTCTGTTGAAAACAAGTCATTGAGGCTCTTCACTGCGGTCAGCGGTCGTGGTGCTGAGTTGAATGGGCAAAGATTGGAAATTTCAGAAGGCAAAAGGGACGTTTGGTTCCGCTCTATGTGAAGGCCTCCTCCCTACTAGCGATGGCCTCCAACCTAAGAGCGAGGGCCTCCACCCTAATAGCGATGACCTCCAACCAAATAGTGTCTTTTAGTTTGGAAGATTGATGAAGATCGATTACTTCTCGTGATTTGGTTTAAAGTGTTTCCAGTTGTGCTTATAAAGTTGTTCACAAGACTTTACATGATTTTTCGATTGACGTACGCACAGGTACCGATTTGAAAGAAGCGTTGGTGGGCCAGGAACTGAAAGAACGGGTGGAGTCGACTACCTGGGCAAGCCTTGCTGAAAAAAGGTTGTTTAAGTAACAAAAAGCTATTACTAGAAGCGATGCACTTGTTTCTACTAGCTTCTTGTTCCTACTAGTAAGGCACCTGTTACTACTAGCGATGCACTTGTTTCTACTAGCTTATATTTCCTCCTGCTTCTAGTCAAGCTTCTTATGATGTTTGAAACAATGTTGCTTGATGTTTTTAGTGCTGTAAGGCACAGAATCCTCCCAAGACCTTGAGCGAATTGGCAGCAGCTCAGGGGACTGGCCTCCATCCTACTAGATGTTGTTTAAAGCAACATGTTTAAAAGGATGTTTCAATGTGTTATTTACGGTAATCTTTTTGTAAAGTCAGTGGTCTCATGACTTTTTGCTTCTACTATGTAACTTTTTCATCAAAGTGCAAGCACTGGGAATGGATCCTGGTTGAGGCAAGCTGGTTGGGCGTTTGAACGGTTCCTTGCAAGAATGCAGTCAAAAGTTCAATGAATCAAGACCCCCACAGATTATTCAAATTCTGTGAGACGTCAAAGCAAGGAAGATAAGGAAGAGTAAAGTGCTTCTGCAAGGTTTTATGTTTGGAATCCTTTTCGTTTGGAAGCTGTTTTCGTTAAATACGCTATTTGGGCTGTGTTCTTTGTGATTAGTATGTTATGAAAGCATTTTTGCTCTAAGGTCTTCTTGGTCACAGCTACGTGGGCTGTATTACTTGGGTCCGCCACGGTCGCGTGGTGTACGGGCATTGTGCTGAGAGTGCTGAGAAACCGCAAGGGCTCGCACCCGGCATCAAAAGGAACAGAAGAACGTGAAACAAAAAGAAATAGGTTGGAAGCCATCGCTAGTAAGGTGGAGGCCATCGCTAGTAA